CAGCTTGAGCATGCCTATGGCCAGATGGGTCTCTGTTGGGAGGGGCAGCCAGACAGTGGGGGCCTGCTACTTTAGGTGTGGACAGAGCTGATCAAGGAGCTCCTGGAAGGTGGCTCGGGTTATCTGAAAAGACTCCAGCCACTGCTCATGCCTCGGGGTGCTCAGGTGTGCTGGATGATGTGCTGCCACCAGTCCTGGCTGGTGTGTCAGGCCCAGAGGCAGTGGGGCTGGAGCTCATGGATGGCAGTGGTGGTGGCATCCACATGAGTATTGTCAGCATCCTGCTGGGTTCCAGGTGGCATCAGTGTGGGGACAGGGGGCTTCAGATGCTGCGGTGAGCCTGGTCACATGGCCAAGGAGCACAGGGGGGAAAGGCAGGGCCTGGACTGACCTGGGCCAGGCTGGTCACCACCAAGTTTCCCTCTAAGGTGTATGTATGCTCGGCTGTGCACAGCTAAAAGTGTGGCCACGCACAACATTTTCAAGGCTGTGCACCAGGAGAGGAGCTGAAGGTCAGCTCCTAGGTGAGGTGGGGGCGGGAGCCTGGTGTGGGCTCTGCCAGCACCAGGGAAGTGCTCCGCTCCCCCGTAGCAGTGCCGGGGAGTGGATCACTTCCCCGGAGCTGGTGGAGCCTGCGCTATCCCCCTGCCCCAGCCTCCACCCCTGCCTTGCCTCACCTTGGGGAGGAGCCGCTGCCTGCCCTGAGTGAGGCTCCACCAGGTCCAGGGCACTGCTCTGCTCCCCTGCACAGCCTTGGGGAGTGAGGAGGCATGTGGCGTCAGGGCCAGGGAGCGAAGCAGTGTCCTGGAGCTGGCGGAGCCTCACTGGGGCAGGCAGCGTCTCCTCCCCGAGGTGAGGCAAGGCAGGGATGGAGGCTGGCGTGGGCCCCGCTGGCTTTGTGGAAGTGCTCCACTCCCCAGCCCTGATGCAGGGGAGCAGAGCACTTCCCTGGAGGCAGTGGAGCCCATGCCAGCCCCCGGCTCTAGCCTCCAGCCTCAGCCTCTGGCCCCAGTCCCAGCCTCCAGCACTGGTCTCCGGCCCCCAGCCCCTGGCCTCCGGCACCCAGCCCCCTTTGATAAGTGTCCCACACCGGACCGAGGCAGTGCACTCACAGAATGAGGCTGCGCACTCATGGACCACTACTCCTTAGAGGGAACATTGGTTACCACAGTGGTGAAACACAGAGAGCAGGATGGCAAGCAGGAGCCTGAGACACAGGTTGTTCCTCCTAGAGCCTGGGGATGGAACAGCCATCACACAGTGGGCACAGGCTCTGGAGAAAGCGTCACAGAGCACCATGTGGGGATGGCTTTTAAAGAGGGCCCCTGGCCCCAGGCAGCTGTGGCAGGAGCCTCCATCTCCCTCTGCCTGCTGCAAGGGGGCAGTGCAAGGCCAGAGGAGGCTCGGAGTACAATAGTGCCATGAGGCCTTTGTACACACCACAAAATTGGTCTCTAAAGTGGCTTACATGCCCTTCTGCACTGCTTTAATGGTGCTGCTGTTTACACTGTCAGAGGCATATTGAATGTTAAATGACTTTGGGATGTAGCAAAATAAAACATGTCTGAGGTGTTTTAGTTTGCTACCTTAGTAGCTGCCGAGAGACGCACTGGGCCCCAGGCAACTCAGGGGCTGTGCAGGCAGTCCGACAGCAGCCCATGCAGGCAGGCTCCTCTGAAAAAAAAAAAGCAGTGAGCCTAATCTTATTTTTTCCTCCCCAGAGCCAGCCTGCCTGCCTGAGCTGTGTGGGGACCTGGTGCTTTCCTCCATGGCTGCAATGCCCCCTGATACTACCCAGGCCGGATGCCTGCAGGTGGGTGCCACCTGGGGGATGCTGCTGCCACTGCAGAGGGAAGTAGTAATGCCCCCCTTGCAGCTCAGGACCACTCGGCCTGCCGGCAGCTCACCATCTCCTCCACCACTGGAGAGGCAAGTAAGGATTGGGCCTAACCCTTGTGTACATTAGGGGTGTGCAAAGCGGGCCCTATTCAATTTGGATTTGGCCCAAATCAGGGACAGTAATTCAATTAATTGATTTGGATCACTGTCCCTGATTCGATTCGGCTGAATCTGAAGATTCGATTTTATTTGGAGAATCAGCGATTCTGACATAGACACAGCTTTAAAAGTTTTTTCTACTTACGCTGAGGTAGCTTGTGAATGCTGCAATGCTGGGAGGCATGGAGCATCCCATAGGAGTGCAGGGGGACCCTACATGTGCTCAGCAGTGAACCCAGAAGTGGACCCAGTGCCCCCTCCAGACCCAGGAGGCATCAGTAACTGAGCTGGGGAACTGCAGGGGGGGTCCCCTGCACACTCCCTGGCAGACCTGGAGGCGGACTGGAAGTGCTGCCAAGCACAGTGGGGAGCCCCCTGTGCTTCTGTGGGACACTCCATGTGCCCCAGCATTGCAGCATTCATGAGCCCCTGCTACCTAGAGTTATGTAGAAAAAAATTTAAAGCTGTGTCTATGTCTGAATCTTTCTGAATCTCTCTGAATTGATTTGGAGGGTTCTGATTTGATTCAGAGAGATTAAAGGGTCCTCTGATTCGATTCATATTTGGAGATTTGGCCACTGAATCTGGCCGAATCTCCACCAAAATGAATCAGGGACTGAAGCTTCACACAGCCCTAGTGTACATGACACAGGGGTTTATTTCAGTTTAAATTGAAGCAGGGTTTTAAAAAACCCACCACTTCAATTTAGGGAGAATTAAACCAAAGTAAACCCCCATGGCATGTAGCCATGAGGAACAAATCTGCTTCCAAATGGCTGCATGTGTAGAAGCTTGCCCAGGGTAGGTTTACTGCACATAGCAGTAATTGCATAAGTAGATGTGCCCACTATGCATTTCTGACCTCCACACAAATAAAGTCCGTCCTTCAGGCCATTCATGCTCCTGTGACCCACACCATTAAGAGAAAAGGGATAGTCCTGAAGGTCAACCATCCCTGACCCTGCTGCCTCAGGATTACAATCCAGTTCAGGACAAGGATGGCATTATATTCATTTGGACTGGGCATTTTAGACCCAAGCAAATGTTGGTTTAACTCATGATACTTCTTCACAGTTTGTCATAGGTGTAAATCTCTGTTTAGCAGAAGCTCAGTGTGGAAAAGCAAGGAAGATGCTTCATGCTTGCAGGGATGCAGGTGGAGCTGTGTGGAAAACACTAGTGCAGGCCCTGTCTACAATATGCAATACTCTACAGATGGCCTTTTCACTCCTCTGAACCATGACTATTGCAGTCAATGGTGGGGTTCCCACTGCCTTCCATGGAAGAATCAGGCATTGTTGTATCATCAAAGCTACACACATCTGAGCAGGCAGTTTATACATTTTTTTAGAATGCTACTTTTTATTGAATTAAGGGCTCAAGGTTCTTCTTGGCATCAGTGCCACAAGGCAAGGCTACCTATGGTGACATCACATATGCTGCTAGGTCACCAGCAAGAACAGATCAAAGCAATGCAGTCAACAGTGAAAACATTTTATTATGTTTGAATGTTGCTGTGGGCTTTTCAATAAGGAAACAGGCTGAATTAAATAAGAGTGGGAAGTGCCCTGGGAAACTGTCCTACGTGTCTATGGATAATAGTCTGCTCTGTCGTGAACCTATTCAATGATATCATTTCAGGAATATTAACAGCAATGATAGTATGTAAAATAACTCTAATTTTAAATTCTCTGTGCAGCATAACTGACAGATGAAATAATATTTCAGATGACTAACAGAATTAATACAGATATAGTGGGAATCCTATGCATTGCATCAAGTCATCCAGATACATAGATCCATTGCTTCAGTACAGCTGAACTAAGAAACAAGAGTCATCCCAATGGAGAGCTTTACTGCTACTTGGCTGGAGGTCAAGTCCATGGAAATCATATTAGTGAACAGAGATAGCTCATTTCAATTACATCATGGAGAGCATGACAGCACAGTCCTGCTATGGACTCTAAATAAATACCTTACACAAGGAACAAACACAAGGGAACAAACTTTGGTTTTTGTACAAATGAACCAAAACCAAAACCTCAAATACAAACACTCACAAACTTTAGTTTCTTTGAAGTCCAACACCAGACTCAGATCCTCAGTTTGCAAATAATTCTCATCTTTCTCCTGGACTGTATTAAAACCCTAGATCTGGATGCCTTGGGATTTTGGAGTGGTTAAAAGCCAGATCTGGAGTTTAAATTCTGCTCTGATCTCTAGTTTTATGCTGGGAGGTTATGCTTTTTACCTTAGCTTATCATTGCTGCAGTGAGAAACCCCTGGCTCTCTAGTAGGGCTCAATGCCAAGGAACCAACACTGTGTACATTCAGAATATATGGGGAACACAGGTTTCTCTAACAGATCTCTTTGGCAGCTCACTTTCATAGGACATTACAAAGCAGTGCTGTAAGGGGTGATCCCATTGACACTGAGATTCACAGCTATACAGGGGGTTAGGTATATTACTGGCTATATAGATCACCTGAGCAAAAGGATATAGCTAGAATGTACCAGCGTCCTGACCAGCCAGGTCAACCATCCCTGACCCTGCTACCTCAGGATTACAATCCAGTTCAGGACAAGGATGGCATTATGCTCATTTGGGTTTGGCATTTTAGACCCAAACAAATGTTGGTTTAACTCATGATACTTCTTCACAGTTTGTCATAAGTGTAAATCTCTGCTTAGCAGAAGCTCAGGGGAGGGCAATTTTAAGACCAACACCTGTGAAAGATCTCCAGTTTGGTTAAGGTTTCCAGTAATTCAGTAGATCCTCATATTTGGTTAAGTCCAGGCTGAAAGACCATGTGTCAAATATCAGTGAGCGCGTTTACACGAGATGCTACTGCACATTTGTTTAGTACTTGTATAAGCAAGTACTAAATAAATGCACAGTAACTGGAGTTACTGTACAGTAGCGCCAGTGACTTTTAGGTGATGCTACTGTACAATAACCTAATAATACTGCACAGTAGCATATTAGCACTGTCTCTGCTGTGATGTGCAGCTGCACAGTCAGCATCTCATGTAGATGCACCCAGCATGTGGTTAATTTGTATATTTTAGTTACATCCTCTTGGCTACATGGCTGCTGATGGGAACAGTGGCAGCAGCAGGAGCAGCTTTCACCAGACACATGTCCAGGGTAAGACTGTTCCTACATTTTGAACTGGGTGATGGAGTTGAAGTAGCTCAGCAAGTCCTCCACAGTAAAGTCCATGGTGATCCCTGACCCTGCATAACAGCGTTGGATCAGGTCCTCAAACTCCTGGTACTGACATATGAACTTCTGCTCCATGGCTTGCCAGACCACCTAGGGAGAAAGCACCTGTTACTGGGAACATACTGCCTGATTTTCCTCACTGGTACATAACAGCACTGTGCAACCATCCTGCTCTGCATACTCTATTAGTTCAACTGTCAATTTGAGAAGGTGGCAAATGGTCATCAGCATGGAGAAGACCTCAGAACTACCTGTATCTCAAACCAGAATGTTGATAATTTCCCTTATGTTAGATGGGTAGAGAAATCCTCACTAATTATCAGGTTGCATGTCAAACAAAAGCTACTAAGAGAAACATGGAGCAGAGAGAAGATATTTGAAAGTGGGAAGAGGGATGAGGGACACAACAGTAGATGAGTGGCAAAAAAAGAAAGTGGAGATAAGAGATGGAAAGGAGGAGACTATGCAGAAGAACTCATGGGTAGAAAGGCAAAGGTCCCGTTTCCCTGTCATTTATTACTTGTCAAGTCTGAATTCCCAAAACATGTTAAGATGCTGCTGCACTAGTACCATACAAGTAGAGCCTGAGCTATAGTTACCGGCAATAGATTTTCCTCTGGAGAGAGAGACTTGACAATTTTCTTGTAGAGGGTTTCAAGAGCTCTCTTCACTTCCTTGCCTGGGTACTTCTCTATTACCTTCCGCAGCTCTTGCTTACTGTATGCCAGGTGAAAGCTGACCTCCTCTTCTTTCACTCCCTGAGCCACACGGGTTTTCACTCCTTCAAAGAAATGCTGAGGAGATTAAGGGGAAGATAATTTATCAACCATTTGTTTGCTGAAGTCATTACTCAGCCTTTACTGAGCTCTAAGAATAAACTGCAGAAGCTGACCATTGGACTGAAAGAGACAATGTCCTGTCTTTTACAAAGCCAGAAAACCTGTTTTATGCATGTGTTTTACAGGGGAGGATGCCTTTGTTTCTTTGTTGTGATTCTATGTTCTGCAAGGAGGCCCACAAAGAGTCTTATATATAATGTATCAACAGATGCCACCTGGTATTAGAAACTCATACTGTGTTTTCTATTGTTTCATGTACTAGCAGCCAGTCTAAAGGTTTTAGAGTCCAAGCCCAATTCAAAGTTTTACAGGGCCTGTGTAAGTCAGTGCAAAACAGAGAATTCTCTACAATGAATCCAGAATATAAACTTTGCTTGTGGTGCTCTGGCCGGGTGCCAGAAGACTGGAAGACCAATGTGGTCCCCATTTTCAAAAAAGGGAGGAGGGAGGACCCAGGCAACTACAGGCCCATTAGTTTTACTTTGGTTCTAGGGAAGCTCTTTGAAAAAATTATCTAGGAGCACATCTGGGAGGGGCCAGCAGGGAGTGGGGGTGGGGATGCTCAAGGGCAACCAGCATGGGTTCATTAAGGGCAGATCCTGACAGACCAACCTGATAGCCTTCTATGATCAGATCACAAAATCACTCGATGCAGGTGTCGCAGTGGATGTAGTCTTTCTGGACTTCAGGAAAGCCTTCGACACTGTCTCCCACCCCATTCTCATTATACAGCTAGGTGACTGTGGCACTAATGCCTACACAATCAGATAGGTCACAAATTGGCTAGGGGGCCGCACTCAGAGAGTGGTGGTGGACGGGTCATATTCGATCTGGCGGGAGGTGGGCAGTGGAGTCCCCCAGGGCTTGGTCCTTGGGCCTGCACTGTTCAATTTCTTTATCAGCGACTTGGATGTGGGGATGAAAAGCACCCTGTTCAAATTCACTGACAACACCAACATTTGGGGCGAGGTGGGCATGCTAGAAGGGAGAGACAGGTTACAACTGGACCTGGACAGGTTACAGGGTTGGGCGAATGTGAATAGGGTGGGATTCAATATTGACAAATGCAGTGTACTGCACTTGGGCAGGAAGAGCCAGCAGCATAACTACAGGCTGGGGAACTCCCTTCTCATCAGCACTGGGCAGAAAAGGATCTTGGAGTCATTATCGATTCCAAGGTGAACATGGGCCGCCAAATGTGAGGATGCGATCAGTAAGGCTAACTGCACCTTGTCATGTATCCACAGATGCATCACGAGCAGGGCCAAGGAGGTGATCCTCCCCCTCTATGCATCACTGGTCAGGACACAGTTGGAGTACTGTGTCCAGTTCTGGGCGCTGTACTTCAGGAGGGATGAGGCCAGCATCAAGAGGGTCCAGAGGAGGGCCACTCGCATGATCAGGGGGCAGCAGGGCAGGCCCTATGAGGAGAGGCTAAGGGACCTGAACCTGTTCAGCCTTCACAAGAGAAGGCTGACAGGGGATCTAGTGACTGTCTATAAACTTACAAGGGGGGACCAGAGGGGATTGGGTGAGACCCTGTTCCCCCGAGCACCTCCCGGAGTAACAAGCAACAACGGCCACAAGTTGATTGAAAGTAAGTTCAGGCTAGACATCAGGAGGCACTACTTCACAGTCAGGATGGCCAGGATCTGGAACCAGCTTCCAAGGGAATTGGTGCTGGCTCCTACCTTAGGGGTCTTTAAAAGGAAGCTTGATAACTACTTAGCTGGGGTCATTTGAGCTTAAACTTAGTAGGGGTCATAAGAGCCCTGTATTCATTCCTTCCCAGGTCAGAGGGTTGAACTAGATGATCTTCTCAGGTCCCCTCCAACCCTACTTCCATGAAACTATGAAACAACGCTGACAGCAGGAACAACTAATCCCTAGGTAAAATATTCAAAAGTGTCTAAGTGTTTTAGGAGTCTCTGGTCTATTTTCACAAGTGCTTTAGGCATTTGTCTTCACTATAGTGTAAAAGATACCTGAGCTTGTTTTACACAAGTTTAAGTGCCTGAAGCAGTCTAGACACAGGAGCATGAAGCTCTACTAATCTACCTTGCTTCTTGGCAGGCCACATTAGCTTGCCAAGTGTTCAACGCTGCCACAACTCAAAGTTGCACTAACTTGTTTAAAGTTAGTTCAAGTATATTTGCACTACAGTACAACGTACAATATAGACAGGCCCATATACTTTTAATGCAACTCAGGTCCATGAATGCTTAATTCCTTTTGAAAATGGGACATAGATACTTAAATCACTTAGATGCCCGAAAAATTTTTACCCTGTTTCAGTAAAGTAGGCAGCCCACAGGTGGAGAGCAGGGCTGTGCAAAACGACACCATTCCATTTCACCTTGAGTTTTGACAGTTCAACGGAACAGTGTTTCATATTGAATTTCATTTTGAGTCGAAACAGCTGTTCTGTTCCTTTCTGTCAAAACAGAAAGGCTGTTTCAACTCTGTTTTGAGTTTCACTGAGGATAGGAAGTCATCCCAGCTAGGCTGACTCATCCCCAGTGCTAGATCGTGCCGGGGCGGGAAGCAGCACAGCCCCGTCCTCCGTGCTACATCAGCGCAATGTAGTATGGGGGACAAGGAAGCAGCCCAGGTGGGCTGCCTCCTGCCCCTGGCACGATGTAGTGAGGGGAACGGGAAAGCAGCCCAGCTGGGCTGCCTCGCAGGTCCCTGCCAGATCTTGTAGTGCGGATGGGAAGTCAGCCCAGCTGGACTGATGTCCCATACTCAGCCTATGGTTGAAACGTTTCAACTTTTGAAATGTTTCAACCAGCCTCGTTTTGTTTTGAGACTATTTTGAGGGCCTTTGTCCTGATTTTGCTGTTTCATAGTTTCATAGTTTCATTGTTGGCAGGGTTGGAAGGGACCTGAGCAGATCATCAAGTCTGACCCCTGCGATGGGAAGGAAAGGATGCTGGGGTCAAACGACCCCGGCAAGGTGTCTATCTAGCCTCCTTCTGAAGACTCCCAGGGTAGAAGCAAGCACCACTTCCCTTGGAAGTTGGTTCCAGATCCTAGCTGCCCTGACTGTGGAGTAATGCCTCCTGATGTCCAGCCTGAATCTACTCTCTGTCAACTTATGGCCATTATTCCTTGTTACTCCCAGTAGTGCTCAGGGGAACAGGGACTCTCTCATTGCCTGCTGGTCTCCCTTGGCCAGTTTATAGATGGCCACCAGATCCCCTCTCAGCCTTCTCTTGTGGAGGCTGAACAGGTTCAGGTCTCATAGCCTCTCCTCATAGGGCCTGCCCTGCTGCTCCCTGATCATACCAGTGGCCTTCCTCTGGACCGTCTCCATGTTGTCCACATCCCTCCTCAAGTGCAGCGCCCAGAACTAGAAATTGGTGGAAACAGCGTTGGAATGAAATGGCCAGCAAAATTTCTCACAGCCTTACTGGACAGCTATGTATGGGAATGAACAAGAGGCCACTTAAGACTTTCATAAACTCCTTAGCAGACCATTGTAAATGTTCCCCATAAATTTAGTCATTAGCAGCCTGTCACTGCTAATAAAATGATACTCACCTGTATTGCTGAAACATCCCAAATGACTAGCACAGACAGGATGTAGACTGAAGCTGACGGTAATATTAGACATTGAGTGGAATTTTCAGCAAAGCCAGTGCATGAGGGATTTGACAGCAAAGACCAGAAGCAAATCAGATCAACAGGTATTTCAATTAAGTCAAGCTGGACTTGGCTGTTATTAGAAGTTACAGACCAATGAACAGGCAGGTGAGCATTAATCAGAATAGCAAGGAGCTGCCAGAATGGCCAGGATCTACAAGAAAGAACTGAATGCCTGTCTGAGTTGGTGCTGTGCTTTTAGTTCAGTTAACAAAGCAGCTGCCCCTGACTTTATGTTAGGCTGATCAGCACAAGCAGCCATCCAAAAAGAATTAGCATCAGCCACCCACAGACATCCTGCTGAAAAAGAAGGCAGGGGTCAGAGTCAGCCCCTTCAATTCAGAGCCAATGTAATGAACTGCAGCCACAGTTCTGCTAGCTTGATGTGTGTTTGTAACTGGGCCTAGCAGAGTGTGGCACTGATCTCAGGTTGGGACCATAAGTGCTATTGTAATAAAAAAACCCTCTGTCTATAAAAGACTAAACACATAAGAGCCAGGCTCTTGTACCATTATTCATGGTGAGAACTACCCTACTTAGCAAGTAGCCCCAATGAAGTCAGTAGGATGCTTTTTATGGTAAGAAGGAGCATCAGCATCTGGACCCAAATAAACAAGAATTCAGAGTAGTGTCATAGATGACAGCCATTTCTTCTCTATTGTCTTGTGAGCTCAGAGAGAACAGCAGTGTGATGATGAGTAAAACTAGCCCTAATACCAACATCCCTTTGGTGGTCTATAAGATCTTTGTACAACTGTTCCAGGGTTTATCCGCATTCTGTGTAGCTTCTGCATTTGAGGCATCACATTTAGTTCTAAAGGTCAGAAACACATTCTCACTCAGGAAGAAGGGAATGATCTCCAACCTGGAAAATGAGTTCAGTCAGCCAATGCTTGCAAAGCACTTTGGACAAAAGAAGTCTGATATTGCTGAAAAGGTGATACCTTCCTCCATACGTAAGACTCCTTTACCTACCTCCTCACTGCAGCAGCAGTGTCCTGCAGGCAGCAAGAGGCTGCCCTAAGTTCTGGGGACAAATGAGACGACAGTAAAATCAGAGATGCACAGTGCTCTTGGGGCCTCCTGAATGCTGCATCTTGGAGTATGTCATAGCTTAGAATGTACTCACCTTGAGCTTCTCCAGTGGCTGTCCCAGGCACTGGGTGACATACAAAACCAGGTGCTCACTGTACATTTCCTTGGCTTCCCTCTGTTTGCTTTCCAAGCACCTGATCTTCTTTTGCAACAGAAAGCAGTGCATGTGGTGGAAGTTCTCCATTATGACCATATCTGTATTGACTTTCAAGTTCACTGAAGACACATTATTGACTAAAGAGAAAGAAAAGGAGAAAATAAGCACAGAGGAATTTAGGGACCTTTCATTATCCAAGGTGAAGGGGAGAGATACAAGGTGAAGAGTGAAAAAGCAGGACATGTTAAGCCCAGCACTTGCCAACAAGAAACTGGACTTACAACGTGGTTACTTAAGCCTGTCCCAGATTGGATGAATCTTCCTAGCCTTCCTAGTGAGGCAGAGACACTGTGAGCTTTTTCAGTGCCCAGGGCAGAGGTGTATAGTGAGAAATTATGTTGAACACTGAAAAGTGGAGGGGAGGGTGCAGAAGGGGAGGGGGAACAGAGTCTTACTAGCCTGGATGCAGGCTGTTGCTGCTATGTCTATTGTTGCGGGCTGCTGTTGTAGGAGTGTGGGCTCAGGCTGATGTAGCCAAGGGACAGGCACAAACATGGGCTCTCATGTCAAAGCCTCCCCAGGTGGGTGTCCTTCCACTCCCCTCCTTTCCAAGATTCACTACATGGGGCTGTGCCTGTCCAACTCCTATGGCCAGGCAGGGCAGGGCTTTGCTTGCTGTGGCAAAGATTCCTGGAGGGAGGGAGCCATAATGGCCCCATCTCTAAGTCAGTGCCAGGGGGTGGTGCCCTGCTCGCTTCCCCTGGTAATGCTACTGGACTGAGTGTCATGATTGTCCCATTGGAACTCCTGGCTGTTCCAGTACTGAAAGGAAAAAAGATCCCAATAATGGTCACTTTACTCTTATTTCTTATCTCAGTTGCTTTAGATGTTTTTTAATCTTGTGAGGGCCTCACATGAACTGTTGATGCTTGTCAGCAGCTCATCCAGACTAATACCCAGACCAAAGTCAGTGCTCAGCAATGAGGAAAATGCTCAGGACTGTCAGGTATGGGAACCCTTGAGAGCTCTGCAGTTCAGCCTTCTGGCGAAGTGAAAGGTATCACTCCACAGCACCCCAAGCTCAGCAGGCTGGGATGCCAGAGATCAACCATGATCTCAACACAGATCTCTGGTCCAGTAGCACAGAAGGCAACCTGTCAGCTACCAGTCTTTTCCTCTTTCTGTCACAGTACATCAGTGGTTTTTGGAGAGAGGCAGCCTCTTTCTAAAAGCTTTTTTGCAGTGACTGCATCTCCTGAGCTTTGTTATTCTTGCTCCTGGGATCTCCTGGCCTGTGTGAAGAAGGGTTTCAAATAGTGAATCTGTATAGCCTGGATAGTCTCCATCACACAAGAGCTTGGACTCAGTTCTCAGCAGTGGAAGGTGGAAGAAAGAAGGGCACTCTATGGCACTTCTGATCTTGCACTTTTGGTCTTCCCAGGTACCAAACCAGTCCTCACGTTTGTACATAAATGGGCACATACATGCATGCATGAGTAGTCTAATATTATAAAAGCCTACGTCTGTCTGTCTGTCCATAACACTTTATTTGCACTCCAATTGGCTGATGGAAGCAGCCAGTTGGAGTGCTCTAACCACGGGGGAGCACTGCCATGATTCCAAAGCCACGCCGAGGACCAGATGGGGTGGGGGAGCCAGGATCAGCAGCGCTGGCCTTGGCTCCCCCACCCCACTCCCTGAAAGTGGCGCCAAGGACCCTACCCTGCTCCTTGCAAGAGGCAGAACAGCGGCAGCATGGGGCGTTAGGTGGCACCACTCCATCCCAGCCCCTCCCCCCGTCATTCTTGACGGGCAATCGGCTAATCTTCATATATGTACACAGGTGCACACATGGAAGAGGCATGGTGGTAGAGCAGACAGGATGTCTTACTATGGCTTCAAAAGCATGAGTATAAGCCTTACTTTGGACTTATATTACATGCTTTAAGAGAACTCTGCTGTAAATGGGTACCTAGTTATTAGGGCTGGACAGTCAAAGGTGGACATGGTGCTACCCTCGTCATTCCTTTGTGTCTTGTTGGCTATAAAAGCTGGCAAACTTTAGCCATGCTAACTCAGTGGGTAGACATTTAGTTCTGTGTGTGTGTGTGCGCGCGCGCCCGCGTGTGTAGGAGGAATATCACTTGGATCTCGAGTCAAAATTTTAAATGGTTTCATTACAACATGAGGAGAAGACTCTGCTCTAGGAAATCAGATAGTTTTTTTCAATCTGTTCTAAGTAACAGCTGCCCTTTAATGATTTTAAAAATGAAATAAAATAGTATTTCAACTGTGTCATATTTTTAACAGCTTTGGAAGTAGTGCATATTATTCATAGCTACACAATGGAAAATAATTAAAAACAATATAAAATGTAAAAAATATAGAAAAAATCTAAATGAAATTTTGAAATGCTTACACAAATTTTTCAGAGTTTCTGTTTCATAAGAAGCTTGAAAACAAAATTCAGGATATTTTTCTGAACCAGAAGCCAAACAAATGTGAAAAAGCAGCAATCCCCACAAAATGGGAAATCTGGGCTTTGAGCACCTCTTGTTTCATTGCTCCAACTCTCACACATTGCCACATTTTACATAGGCCTCTTTACATAACAAAACCCCCCAAATCCAATATCTGCATGATTTAGGAACTGAAATACTGATTCAGACTCAAAGGTTGTGATTCAGGTTCATATATAGAACTAGGACCTGTGTACTCACTGCTGTTGAAGACTGTATCCACCAGTTTCATGTGGGCTTTCTCCAGCTCCCCTCTCTGCTGTGCCCACTTGAAAGCCTCCTCAGAGAAATTCACATATTCCTCAAAGCGGCTCACAAATGGCAGGATCCCACCCTTCATCTTGCTGGGCAACTTTGCTTCCTCAATTTCTTTGCACAGAGCATACTGGAATCAATAAAATAAAGCAGAGCACTCTCAGACAGGACTAATCCCTGTCTCAGCTGAGGACAGGTCAAGGAGAGTGTAGGCAAGCAAACCAACCAAAGGCTACACACCAACATCAGTGTAACTGGGCCGCTGTGCTCCAGAGAGACAGAATTTACCATCTGCATGGGATGAATATGCATTACATGACAAAATGTTCAATTTTGGAGCAGCTCTTAGATTTCAAGGCCAGAAGGGACCATTATAATATTTAAATCTGACCTTGTATTTGAGACTGGACAATGAATTTCATTCTCACTTCAGGCCCCTAGTGCTCCTCAGGGGTTATAATGCCAAGAAGGACACTAATGTCCAGATCACAAAAGCACTTGTGGTGCTTTTGTGATCTAGACCTGTCTGCTAGCAGCTTGAGCTGAGACTCCTGTTTTGGTTCATAGAGACTGTTGATAGAGAACAGGTGGCCACTGCTGAAATGGACTAGATCTGAATCCATAACCTAGATGTAGAAGTTCCTACATGGGAATTTCCATTCATGGTTTTATGAACTCCTGTGGCTTCCCAGCTCTGTGTGAACTCACAGACCTCAATGACAAGTGAGAATAGTCTCACACACTATGGATGGGCCACGTGGTATGATTTCAGGCCTTACAAGATCTGAAGGCTAAATCCATGCCTAGTATAAATTATTATTCACTCCAGTGCTGGAGACTGACTTCAGTGGTATAAATAAATGATACTGGCTTATACAAGGTCCAAAAGATCCATTGATTATAACACTATTTTGGGCTTCCAACACTACCTGAAACTCAGCTCTGTTTATAACTAGGAACTCACAATGCACTTGTTGAAGTTGTTCTTGGCTAGGAGCAGCATGTTGCTGAGGACAGTGTTGAGGAAGGAGGAGGACAAAGCTGAGGAAGAGCCCTGTATCTCCAACATGTAGTCATTCAAGGTAACCAGGACTTCCAGACAGCTAAACTCATGGACTTTGTTGAAGGTATCTATAAAACCTCTCAGCTCTGGCTCCAAAGAACTGAACATCTCAGTCAGCAGCTGCGCAGAAGGTTCTTCTAGTCTAGGATATGGGTTACAGTTAAGAAGGTGGTTGGGACAAAAAGGTGACACAGAGGTATGGACAGTAACAATGATACACAGTTGAAAGTTCACACCCCAGCTAGACATGTTCATAATCCAGGGAGCAGCACTTGCAGAGACCAGATAGTTACATAATCAGCAGGCAAGCCACCTACTACCATTCCTATACCACAGTATAAGATAAGTCAATAGACTTATCTAAAAATAAAAAACAGATGTAAAGAAAACACAGTCCTTGTCCCAAAGGGTTTGAGTATAGGATGAGAAACATCAGGTGGCAACAGCACACATACATGGGAGCACTAGGAAACAGTGGGACAGCTATGATTGCTAGGAGCGTGTGAAGCGGGCCCTATTTGATTTGGATTCGGCCCGAATTGGGGACAGTGATTCAATTCACTGATTCAGATCACTGTCTCTGATTCAAATAGGCCAAATCTGAATCTGAAGATTTGATGCTGATTTGGAGAATCAGCAATTCAACACAGCTTAAATGTTTTTTCTACATACCTCCAGGTACCAGCTCAGCTTGTGAATGTTGCGATTCTGGGGCACATGGAGCGTCTCACAGGAGCGCAGAGGGGGCCCTGTGCACTCCCCGGAGGACCCAGAAGTGGACTGGAAGTGCTTCTGGTCCACTTCTGGATCTGCTGTTGACCACACTAGGGAGCCCCCCACACCTCTATGGGACACTCCATGTGGCCCAGCATTGCAGCTTTCATGAGCTGCCTGGTACCTAGAAGCATGTAGAAAAAGCATTTAAAGCTGTGTCTATGTCTGAATCGACAAATATTTCTGAATCTCTCCAAATCGATTCAGAGGGTTCTGATTCAATTTGGAGAGATTAAAGGGTCCTCTGATTCAATTTGGATTCAGAGATTTGGCCACCAAATCTGGCTGAATCTCCACCAAATCAGTGACTGAAGCTTCACACAGCCCTAATGATTGCTGTACTAAGTAATGACCAGAGCACACTAAATGTGTACCCAGGGAATACAAACTAGCTCTCCTGATGCCTAGTCCAACATGCTATCCTCTCCCAGGTTATAATACCATCACAATTCTTGGAACTACCTACATGGTTGTATATGTGTTCATATTTTTGTGCCTTGCTTTTTCCACTAGATCAGACCAGAACCAAGGGATAAAGAATCTTTTCAGACAGTCTTCTAGCTGAATAAATATTGGATCTTAACTCACACCATCTTGGGTCCTGTTTCACTGGCAGGTAGAGAACCATCAGGTGGCTTTCCAGGCAACTTGCCCCCAATATTGTAAAAAAAAAAAAAAAAGGTCATATTCCATTCTCATTTACATGGATGTAAGATAGGAAGTCTGTGGAGTTACTTCCAAATATCACCAATCTAAATGTGATCAGAGCCAACATTTTTTGTGACAGAAAACCTCACTGACTTTATCAGGAGCATCACTAGGTCTGAGTGACCAAAGCAACCACTCCGGTTGCTGAATCTGGGTTGGACTCCTCCAAATACTCAGCCAGGATGCTGATTGTTTGATACTGTTGTAAAGAAAAAACCCTGAAATGTTCAATCAAGGAATAAGAAGTATGAGATCAGCAAGGATATCAAGGAAAAAAAATCTGTCCAATTCAACTCATTCCTCAACCAGGTGCTTCTGAGAAGCCCAGGGTCTGTGATCGTTGCAATGAGTTATAACTTGTCACTCACGTACTGGCTCTTAATCTTGGCACAAGGCAATTCCTCCGGAAAAGCTGCATCCTCTTCTCTCTCGCTTGTGGCAGGTGGCTGGAAAATAGAATGGGTCACAGAACATAAGTCATCTTTAAAGACACTCATTTTCCCCATCCAGAGAGTAGAACATAATCTTTGGGTGTCATTTCAGTAGGACTAATAGTACCTTATATTACAGCTCCATGTGTGATGCTCAAATGCACACTGATAGGGATGCTACAATAATAAAATTTTGCTGAATCCAAACCCTCAAGTTAATTTAATCTCCTTGCTCCCAAAGGGTTATCATGTTACGAACAGTACACCTTCCCCCATGTTATTCACTTAGCTGACTTACCTCTGGAACTTGCTGTCTTATAGCATCCTGGCTCAGCACAAAGAACTTCTCAATAAACCTCTGTTCTGAGGTACACAGGGGTTGAAGCCCTCTCAACACCTGCTGCAACATCTGCTACAGACACAGCAAACACACCTTTAAATACTGCTTCCCTTCATTCAGCATGTCCCATAGTATCTCCATCTGTCCCCACAGCTTCAAGGTCAGCACTACAAAGAAACAGCCATTAATACTGAGGCTGTTGCTATACCAAAAACCTGAATTTGCTTCAGGGCTCTCACATCTACTGTTCCTGAGACCTATTTAATCTGGAGCAAGTGTTACCCAGTCTGTAAACTGGGCCAAATATGACACTCACTCAGGTCTCATCACCAAGAAACAAATAAGATTGTAGTATGCTGTAGGTGAAGTGGAGGATTCAATGAAAAAACACATGCAAAGATTTGGTGGCTAAAAGCCCCTATAGTTCTCTGTGACTTTCTGAAAGTAACAGTGGTAAAGGCCAGACCCACATCACACCCTTCTGAGACATGGACTTGTACTTCTCCAGTGATGCCAGTTCTAGTTGCCACAGATTCTGGATGCTCTGTTTGCACCCTTGTCCCACTTTATGAAGCCATGTCTACTGCAGCGTGGAATCTCCTAGTGAACAACACAGTCTGAAAACTTTCTTACAAAAGCAGAGCTAGCATCAGCATTCATTTAAAAACAAGAGCTACCATTAACCTGGTTTGTCTGTTTGGAGTGGTATTTGGCCATCCCTAGGAAAGAAAGCATGCACTTTATTTTTGTGATCCTGTGAAATGAACTCTGTGCATCCCCTGGAAGAAAAGCCTACCCTTGATTTCTGAGTCCATTTTAAATAAGCTTCATGTAGTTAGAAGGAACAATTGCCAGAAGGGACAGGTATAGGTGCAGATAAGTGCACCTGTTAGAACTACAGCAAAATTCTGGTCTGTTAATTTGTTAGCAGTAGAGAGAACTGAAACAAAAATATTGCACATTGCATAGCCATGCTTCTGAAGACTATGCCTCCCCATCTTTGACTGACTCTCACTTCCTTACTTTGACAAGGTTTCCTTTGTCCAGATCATCCTCTTCCTCATTTCTGTTTTCAGGGAGACCAAATTGTGACTGCCATCTGTTTCCACAGGCCATGAAGCCAGTCTTGTCTAAACATTCTTGCAAACCTGCAACAGATAAGCAACTCTTGCAGACTTTTGCATCTACTGGTTTCTCTTCAGCTACCTCCCTTACTATGGTTTGACAGATGTCAGCTGCAAAGGTGACCGTCTCTAAGCTTCCCATCCACTCAGTTAGCCACTCCAACATAAACGATAGTAGATCTCAGATTTATTTGTTCATAGGCACTAGGGCAATCATAGTCAAAGTCAACTGGGACCCAGATTGAAAATGCCTCTGTCTCACTGCAACTTTGGAAGGTCATAAGCAACGGAGTAAAAAGTTGTAGAGGGGAATCCCACTTACTACACAAACAGTTTCTCCTATTTTCATAGATTCTCCACTTTCCCATTTCATCTGAGAGTATAAGATCTCAGATTTTCAGAACCTTGTAAAGCAACATCGGTCTTTTTCATGTGTGACAAACACCTAAAAAATGAGCTATCTAAATTGATACACTGGAAGAGGGAATATGATATGAAAGAACAAGCTGTTTTTTTCTTGAATGCATCTGCAATTTTCTATACCTTCAGCTTCAAGATTTTAGAAGTCAGGAGAAAAAGTCCATGATCTCTGAAGAACACCCATGTTAGACTGCTAACTCTATCTCTCTGCATTTATATGAATCAATAAGAATGTGCATAAGTGTACAGTGCTGGGTCGTATGACAGGAGACTACGGGCCAGATATTTAGCTTTTGTAAATGGATAGTTCCACAAATTCATTGACTGAATTAATGCAGTAGAATCATGGCTGGCTCTGTCTGTAGGAGGGAAACCCTACCACATTTCTCTTTCATCATAACTATCATGAAAGCTGTGTAACACACTATCTCCTTAGAAATTCACTGTTAATAAAATTAGTATATGGGATATTTGGAGCTCACAAAAGTTATGGTTGATTTCAGAGTACGCATGAAATTGCTTCATCCAGGGGCATAGCATTCTACTTCCTAAGGAAGAGACCTTAAATTCACATTTGTTTTAAAAATCATCCAAGCAAATGCACATACCTCATGATCCTGCCCAGATCAGGGGGAATACAAGGAAAAGAAATGCCTCCTACTGATAAAGGGTATTGATAAGACACTATTTAAAATACTGTGCAGTTCTGGTAACCAATGTTCAAAAACATTAACTAAAACTTAAAAAAAAGAGAAGTATAGATGCTAAAATGAAGATATTTTCTTGAAGATCTTATGAAGAATTAAATAAAGGAGCCAGGCTTTTTTTGGATAGCAAGGTGACATGATCACCCTGTAGAAGTACATTCAGGGCATGAAAAGCTTTTTAGGGTGCAAAACAAGTCTAGCAAAGAATTAAATAAATGCAAACTGATGAGGGTGAAATCTAAATTAGAGATTAGAAGGTTTCTAAGTACCAGAGGAGTGAAGTTTTGGAATGGTCTTTCAAGCCAAGTGGTGAAGGCAAAAAACCAGCCCTGCTTTAAGACTGACCTGAATACATTTATGGAAGGCCTAGTAAAAAAGGACATGGAGTTCTGGTTCAAAAATCAGTGGTGAGGACAGACGGGCAATCCAGGTTGACCTGGACAGGCTCAAGAAATGGGCAGATGAGAACCTGATGGCATTTAACACCAAAAAATGCAAGGTTCTCCACCTTGCATGCTTATAGACTTGGCAGTGCTGCACTGGCTAGAACTTTGGACGAAAGGGACCTAGGGGTCATGACTGACCACAAGATGAACATGAGCCTTCAATATGATGCTGCAGATAGTAAACCAAGCAAAATGCTGGCTTGCATCCAGAAATGCTTCTTGAGCAAATCCCTGGACGTCATTCTCCTGTTGTACTCGGCCTTGGTGAGGCTGCTGCTGGAGTACTATGTCCAGCTTTGGGCTCCACAATTCAAAAAGGATGTGGAGAAGCTTGAGATAGTCCAGAGGAGAGCCATGTGCATGATCAGAGATCAGGAAAACAGACCTTATGATGATAGGCTGAGAGCTATGGGACTCTTCAGCCTGGAGAAGTACAGGCTCGGGAGTGATCTGATGGCTACCTATAAGTTTATCGGGGTGCTCATCAGGATCTCGGGGAATGTCTGTTCAACACAGCACCCCAAGGGATGATAAGATCGAATGGTCACAAACTCCTCCATGACCATTTCAAGCTGGACATAAGGAAGAACTTCTTTACTGTCCTAGTCCCCAAGATTTGGAATAGACTGCTGCTGGAGGTGGTTAAAGCACCTACTTTGAATGCCTTCAAGAGACATTTGGATGTCTATATTGCTGGGATCCTATGACGCCTGCTGACTTCCTGCCCTTTTGGGCAGGGGGCTGGACTTGATGATCTCCTGAGGTCACTTCCAGCCATAATGTGTATGAAATCTATGAAATGAGGGAAGGGGCCTGGAGAAATGCAAGTGCCTTTCTAAGTTAGCTCCTTTGGGACAATCCCTGATAACACCTCCCTGGTTTCTTTATGCAGGGCCAGATTGCTCCATTTCAAGCTTTTAATGCCATCTTTAAAAGGGAAATCATGTCCTCAGCTTCAGGACACTGTGGTGGTAGGGTAGATAGGAAGCAATTTCTTCCCTTATGTCCAGCACTGCGCAACAAACAGCTGGCTAGCTATGGGAGGCTGAGCTCTGCAGAGACGAGCAATTCTGCTTTGCAAAGGATTTTAATATTTCTACATTTTGGCTTGATCTGAATTTAAAATAAAACCCCCGAATTTCAAAATTCTTTGTGAGAGAGAATAAAACCCTGGTTCCATGGCAGTTATCCTGGTGGGCTTCCTGGGAGTCATGAACTTTGAAGAAACTGGCAAGCACCCAACTCCCCATCAGCCCACCAGAGAGGCTGCTGAAAAAAGGGAGGCACACTGTCAGGAAACCCAGCAGCTTTCCAAGAGAATCCTGTCTGGGTTCATCAATATTGGAGCATCATTAGACTCACGCCCTTTCTTCAGATATTGACAAATCAGCATTTTTTATGACAAAAGTTCTGGCAGAAGTTTTGCAGGCAGCTCTAGTGATGAGGTGGGTTGAGTTTTTTTTTTAGCATCCATTATTGGCAGATGCTGTTTGAGGCAGGCTACTTGAGCAGATGGCCAATGCTCTGCGTCAGCATGACAGATCTGAATGGCATGATTTTCTGAGCCACGCACAAGGTTGTTAGCAGCATGTGAGGTGTCATTTCTGCACTGTGGAGGGAGTGACCCAGGATTGGTGAACCTGGATAAGATCTGGCTTTGTCTCTTCCCTCTTTTTCCCTCCTACAGTATTTCTAGGATGCCTTAGGGGAGGAGTAGCCAACCTGCAGAATGAGTGCCACAAGTGGTAAAGGCAGCTTCTGTGTGTGGCACACAACAGATCAGAGAAAGGACAGGCAGTGCAAGAGCAGATAGGGTAGGAAGCAGAAAGCAGAGCAGATTAGGTAGGGAGCACAGAGTATGGAGCAGTAGCAAATTGGGTAGAGGAAAGGGATCGAAGTGGAGGGAGTGGGACTACTTTGTGGCATGCCTGCCACACAAGCTGCCCCCCACTCTTTTAAGGGAGTCTGTTTTAAGAGCAACTGAGAGCCACAGGCTGAATTTGCCTGCTTCAGAATCTAACAGAGGACAAGATTTAGAAGCTCTCGTCTGCCCCTGTTCTAAAAATGTTCACAGTGGTTAACACTACACCACAGCTCCAGCACAGCAGATGTAGCAGGGTTGGTGCCGCTGGTGTGACAAGGCTCCCAGGACTGTTTAAAGCACCGAGCCAAACAGCTTAGACTTTTAAAAATGTTTGTGGTGTAGACAGGACTATATAGGGAGTGAGCATGCAGATAGGAGAGACTTAAGAACACTGCAATCTGCTCCCAGCATTAGGCATCTACAAATGAAGGCAACCCAAATCTGTGGCCTCTTTAAACCAATAGACTTGCTCAAGCTCACAAAGAAGATCTCTGGCAGAGCTGAGAACAGAAGCACTAACCCTCTCTCCAGTGTCTTAGACCAAAAGTATTTCCTACCTTAAAAAGAAATGAGCCAGATAAACTAGCTACATTTCCTTGGATGATTTCCTACAGCTTAATGCTGGGTACAAAGCCATCAAAGATTCCTGCTGTAACCACAATTGGTTTCCCAGAGACTATATTTCTTGTTATTATTTTAATTACTAGCTTTTTATTAGATGCCCAGAGACACTGAAGAAAGATGGATAAAACGATGAAAGGAAATCTCTGATAAAACTTTTATAAAAAGGTATAACACCGAGCTACAGTACCTCATTTCCTATATCCTTCCTTATTATTTTTAATATCTGTTTTCATAAAGAGTGCCTTAAATAGCCAAGTTAACTTTCCACCTGAAACATTTCTTCATTTTAATAGGTTTCTGACAGAATCCTGCGGTGCTTGAAGAAGAAAAAAAATGTTTTTATTACCCAGCAGAATTAAAATCACTTGTTCAGAGCCCATCAATTACCATACTGAATGGGAACAGTGGCCTCTTCACCTTATGTACCATCTTTGCTATTCCTTTTATTTAAATGAAAATATTTGCTTTTTTTCACAAAATGGAAGCTGATCACATTATCTTGTAAATGACAGATCATGCTGTTTGCCTTCCCCCTTGCAAACTCCCAGGACTCTTTGCTAGAATGATGGGGGCTTTTTGTTTTTGTTTTAAATCAGGGATTCCTGTTTATAAGTGAAAAGAAGCATATTTCCCTCAAGAAATCCCCTGTCTCGGCATCAATGTCCCTAAGAAGCAAGTTATCTTTTTTTGATGACTTAGTTTAAACAATATGACAGTCCTGTCTTTCCTGGGCTAGATGCAGAATCCCAGTGATACATTAATTTCTGTCTAGATTATGCACAAAAAAATGAAGAAAAGCTACACTGGGGTGCATTTACTGTGCAGTAACCAAAATTACACTGCAGTATAGGCGCATGTATACACATGCATGTCTGTACTGAGCAGTAAATATGGTGACTTATGACAACTTGAGCATAAATTTGATACCTGAATAATGCATAAATTTGATTCCTTCCAGCTTAC